CAAACCAGCTGTTAGGAGCAGAAGTCCAAAATAACTGGAGGACCAAAAGTTGGAAACCACTGCAATATGCTAAAACTAAGGAAGATGAAACCCTTGGAGACTATGCATAGTAGTTTCAGCACTGAATCAGGGTATGACTCCACTGCTGGGCCATTAAAAACTCATTGGGTACACTTGGCAAACTACACTCTCTCAGCCTCAAAGGAGGACAATGCAAACCTCTGCCAAGAAGAATTTGCAATAAGTGACCTTAGGCTCACCAGAAGTCAGAAACAACTTGAAAACACAAAACTAACAACAACAACACACCTTTCTTCTCCTCCTCCTCCTCCTCACAATAACTCTATGCCAGAAGTTCTCAACCTTCCTAATGCCACAACCCCTTAATACAGTTCCTTATGTTGTGGTGACCCCCAACCATAAAATTATTTTCATTACTACTTCACAAGTGTAATTTTGCTACTGTTATGAATCGTAATGTCAATATCTGATATACAGCATGTATTTTCATTAACTGGACAAAATTTGTCACAAATACCCAATACACACAAATTTGAATACTGGTGGGTTTGGGGGGTGGGATTGATTTGTCATTTGGGAGTTGTAGTTGCTGGGATTTATAGTTCACCTACAATCAAAGAGCATTCTGAACTCCACCAACTATAGAATTGAACCAAACTCGGCACACAGAACTCCCATGACAAACAGAAAATACTGGAAGGGTTTGGTGGACATAGACCTTGAGTTTTGGAGTTGTAGTTCACCTACATGCCAAGAAAGAGCTTCTGGGACTGCAGACCATGAAAACCCACTGGGTGGCCTCAAGAAAGTCACACACTCGCAACCTCAAAGGAAGCGAGTCATAAATGTCTGTTACCTTAGGGCTGCCAGAGATCAGAAATGACTTGGAGGCACACTGCTACTACTACTACTACTACTTCCTGGAGAGTGGCATAGGGTGCCTCAGATTGTGGTGGAGTCTCCTTCTCTGGAGGCTTTTTGGCAGAGGCTGTCTGTTGGGAGTACTTTGATTGTTCCTCCCTGCATAGCAGGGGGTTGGACTTGATGGTCTTTGGAGGCCTCTAGGAGTAGGCAATACAGGGTCTCAAACGAAGTTCTGGGGGCCGAATATGGCCCTCCAAGGTCATTTACCTGGCCCTCGCTCAGGGTCAACCTAAGTCTGAAATGACTTGAAAGCACACAACAACAATCCTATCTAATCTGCCAAAAGTAGGCCCACACTTGTCATTGAAATACTAAGTTTATATTTGCTAAAATTGTTCTTAATTTTAATTATTGTATTGTTTTAAGTGTTTTTTGCACTACAAATAAGATATGTGCAGTGTGCATAGGAATTTATGCAAGTTTGTTTCAAATTATAATCCGGCCCTCCAACAGTTTGAGGGACTGTGATCTGGCCCTCTGTTTAAAAAGTTTGAAGACCCCTGGTCTAATGGATACACTTTTTCCCTCCCGTCCCCCATCTCATCCTGACCAAGGCTAAGCCTTGTGGGATCCAAACGTTTCCCATCTTCCCTTCACTTTCCGCCTCCAAAAGAGAAGAGGAAGGGGAGGAAAGGGCAGGGAGGGGGCTTGGAGAGAACCCCCTTCATTTTGGCCCCAAGTTAGGAAGTTTGCCCATGCCTGATCTACGCTGTAGAATTACTGTAGTTTGAAGCAACTTTAATTGCCCTGGTTCAATGCTATGGAATTCTGAGAGTTGCGGTTTTTCAAGGTTTTCAGCCATAAAAGTCCTACATCTGCCACGATCCCCTCAAATCGAGAGATAGTTGTTAAAATGGGACGCCAAACTGCATTAATTCTACCTGTGCGGATCACGCATGGGCAAATTTGGGCCCTCCAGACGTTTTGGACTTCAACTCCCACAATACCTAACAGCCCGCTCCGTGTTAGGGAGGCGATGCTCTCTACCAACCACTTTCTCTCCTCCTTCCTTGCACACTCCTTGCCCTGCAAAGAATAGGGAGCCGCGTTTACTGTAAGGAGATCCCATCCGTGTCCTTTCCTCCAACCCACTTCAGCAGTAAGCGCTTTTGCACAGTGGAGAGTCGCACCCGTTGCTTATAAGGAGATCTCTCTCTTCGGTATCCCGTCTTCCGACCCACTTCAGTAACTAGTTGTTTTGCGCCTCTTCGGCTGTGGGTGCATCTACACTGTGGAATTACTGCGGTTTGGCGCCACTCGAATTGCCATGGCTCAATGCTATGGAATCCTAGGGAGTTGTAGTATGGGGCGCTTGTCTTTCCTCAGCTTTACCAAAGGAAGAGAGAGAAACAGAGAGAAACATGTTGCGCCCCGTCTGGCATTCCTCTTTGAGGAACGAAAACCCCAAAGCAGCAATTCTTTTATTAGAGACACCCCTCTTTTCTATTCTATTCTATTCTATCTTTTCCTGTAAGTCTGCGTTGCCTTCTTCGCCTCCTCGTCCTCTCGCCCCTCCGGGATGATTAGCAAAAGAAGGAGGAGAAGGAGAAGGAGGAAGAGAAAGAGGAGGAGAAGGAGGAAGAGAAAGGGGAAAGGGAAGAGGAAGAGGAGGAGAAAGAGGAGGAGGAGGAGGAGAAGGAGGAGGAGAAGGAGAAGACGGAGGAAGAGAAGGAGAAGGAGAAAGAGGAGAAGTCCAGACAGATCCCAAGTATTGACTCTGCAAGGAAGCAGATGAAACAATAGATCACATCCTCAGCTGCTGCAAGAAGATGGCGCAGACAGACTCCAAGCAGAGGCATAACACCGTTGTTCAGATGAATTATTGGAACTTGTGTCACAAATACCATCTGCCTGTGACAAAAACTCGTGGGATCACAAGCCTGAAAAAGTTACAGGAAATGAACAAGTCACACTACTCTGTGATTTCCGAATTCAGGCTGACAGAGTTTTAGAGCACAATACTCCTGACCTCACCATCGAAGTATGGATCCGTAGATGTTGCTGTTGTGATCGGCACACTGGGTGCAGCGCTAAAGACCTTGGCCTGCACTTAAACACAATCGCAGCTGACAAAATTACCAGCATCTGTCATCTGCAAAAGGCTACCTACTGGGATCTTGTTTGCTGTTGTTGTGTTTCTAATAGTAGTAGGAGTGCAGTCAACTATTTTCCTGTAAACTTTTCCTGTCAGTATGTCCACTTCTCGTCCTCCTTGTCTACCGAAACAAAAAAGAAAGTATCCCTCAGTGAGAGAAATGATGGTGGTGATGAAAGACTAGAGGTGCAACTCTTTCTTTGGGATACTCTTTGGGTCCTGATCAAGCCTCATTGGGTCTCGTTGAAAAGGGGAGGAAACGGGATAGAAATAAATATAGTAATCGCCTTTTTTTCCTGTAAACTTTTCCTGCCAGTATGTTGCGTTTTCCTTCTTCTCCGCTCCGGGACAGAAACAGATAACATCCCTGAGATTGGAAAGGATAGAGAGGGGCACCACTCTTCCTTCCTTAGGGTCCCTCCCTCCTAGATGCGGCACTTTTGCGACATTTTCCTCCTCGGCCACCCTCCTCAGCTCAACTCGGGGACAAAACAAGAAAGTATCGAAGGCTTTCCTGACAGGAATCGCTGGGTTACTGTGAGTTTTCCAGAAGCATTCTTTCCTGACGTTTCGTCTCCATCTATGGCAGGCATCCTCAGAAGTTGTGAGGTCTGTTGGAAACTAGGCAAGTGGGGTTCCTAGTTTCCAACAGGAACCTATTCCAAAATGCTTCTGGAACAGGGCCAGACATCCCGGAAAACTCACATCGACTCAAGAAAATATCCCTCGGTTGGAGGAGTGAGGATGAAAGAGGAGGGACGCAACTCCCACTTAGAGACCCCCCCCCCATATTCTAACCCAGGCATGGGCAAACTTCGGCCTTCCCTCAAGGTGTTTTGGCTGTTAAGAATAGTGGGGGTTGAAGTCCAAAATACCTGGAGGGAGGGCCGAAGTTTGCCCATGCCTGTTTCAGCCCTTTCCTGTACACTTTCCGTGTTCGTCACTCCGCGAATGATGATGATGATGAAGAAGAGGAGGAGGAGGAGGAGGAGGAGGAAGAGGAGGAAGAGGAAGAAGAAGAAGAGGAGGAGGAGGAGAAAGAAAAGAAGAGGAGAAGAGAAAGAAGAAGGAGGAGGAGGGAGGGGAAAAAGAGAGGAGGAGGAGGGAGAAGAAGAAGAGGAGAGGGGGAGAAGAGAGGAGGAGAGAGGAGAAGAAGAGAGAAGAGAGGAGGAGGAGGAAGAATGAAGAGAGAGGAAAGAGAAGAAGAGGAGGAAAAGAAAGAGGAGGAAGAGGAGAAGAGAGGAGAGGAGGAGAGAGGAGGAGAGGAGAAATAAAAGAAGAGGATGAGGGGAGGAAGAAGAAGAAGAAGAGGAGGAGGAAGAGGAAGGACGCAACTCTTCCTTCGAGGCACCCTTATGAGCTGCTCTACTTTTCCTGTCGGTCTGTGGCCTTTCCCTCCCTCCCTTCTTCCCTCTTTCAACTCCAAAGGGCAAAAAAAGAAAGGGAAGGGAAGGGAGAGGGCGCGCGCCCAAACAAACAAACCAACCACCCGAAGGCGTCCCTGGCGCCCCATTGGCTGCCTGCACGCGACCGTCCCCGCGGGCTCCAATGGCGGGGCCGCCACGCGACCGGCGCGCGGAGGGCAGGCCAGGGAGGCGGGGCGCGGAGTGGGGCAGCGCGCGCGTGGAATCGGCGGAGGTGCGAGCGAGGGAGGGAGGGGAAGGAAAGGGGAGGGGAGGGGGGGTTGCCCCGGCGCGTGCCGCTTTTTAAAGGGGGCCCCGCCGCCCTCCGTCCCGCAGCCAGCCTCAGGAAGCGCCTCGCCCGCCTCGTCTTGGCCACTGACTGCTTTGCCTTACCTTTCAAACAAAACAAAAAGAGGTCTCCTCTCAATAAGAGAAGAAGGGGATCCCGACTTTATTTCTCTGTCGTTGTTGTAGTTGCCTCCGAGAAAGCACCGCTTGGACGTGAGGGAAGAGGAAAAGCGCCTGAGTGGTGTGTTTCCCTCCACTTCAGGGCCACCATGAGCCACTTGAGGAGCCGCGAGTGGGGCGACGGGGGCAGGAGCGTGGCCTCCCAGCCGACAACATTGGAAGCCGGCCTCTTGGAGGGCGGAAGGGACAGCTTCTCCCCGGCTTGGCGCGGCCTCTGCTGCCCCAACCGCCTCCCCAGCGCCGCGCCTCGCTATCTCCTCTCGGGAGAGGCGGAGGAGGAAGAAGAGGACGACGACGAGGAGGAAGAGGACGACGAGGAAGACGAGGAGGGGATCCGCCTCCAAAGGAAGGCGAGCGGCGGCAGTGGCGGCGGCGCCTCGGGGAACCCCATGTGCGCCTTGCAAGGGCACCGTCCGCACTGCCGCCAAAGCCAGTCCCCGACGCCCCGCCTGGGCCTGCCTTTGCGGGGTTCCGCTCCGTCCGGGGTGCAGAAGCAGCGGCGCTTGGCGGCCAACGCGCGGGAGCGGCGCCGCATGCACGGCCTCAACCACGCCTTCGACCAGCTCCGCAACGTCATCCCCTCCTTCAACAACGACAAGAAGCTGTCCAAGTACGAGACGCTCCAAATGGCGCAGATCTACATCAGCGCGCTCGCCGAGCTCCTCCACAGCCCGACACAAGCCGCTGCTGCCGCTTCTTCCGACGAGCCTCCACCCCAAGCGCCGCCGGGACCCTGCAGGACGCGCTTTCCGCCGCCGCCGCCTCCTCCTCCGCCTCCTGAGCCGCTGCATTTCTCCGCCTTCAGCGAGGGAGCCTTGCTGGGCCAGAAAGACCCCTCGCAAGCCCAGCTCCTCCAGCCCTCCTCCGCCCAGCAGCAGCCGCCACCAGAGAGGAGGAAGCCTTCCCCGACGGCGCATCGCAGCGACGGGGAGTTCTCGCCTCGCTCCCATTACAGTGACTCCGACGAGGCCAGCTAGAGAGAGGAGGATCCCCTCGAGGCCTAGACGGGGAATGGGAAGGGAGAGGTTGGTTAGACGGGTTGGGAAGGAAAGGCCTCGCCAGACTCGGAAGCCAAACAAAAGGACCTTCTTTGGAGGGAAAGAGCTAGCCACGGAACTTGCGCCAGTTCTAGAGTGCTATAGAAAAGCTTGTTCTCATCTCTGAGAGTGCACCACAGCAGGTATGGGCAAACTTGGGCCCTCCAGAAAAAGGAAGGAGCCTGAGACTGTTAGGAATGGTGGGAATTGAAGTCCAAAGCACCTGAAGGGCCTGAGGCTGTTAGGAATGGTGGGAGTTGAAGTCCGAAGCACCTGAGGCTGTTAGGAATGGTGGGAGTTGAAGTCCAAAGCACCTGAAGGGCCTGAGACTGTTAGGAATGGTGGGAGTTCTTCAACTGAAGCACCTGGAGGGCCTGAGGCTGTTAGGAATGGTGGGAGTTGAAGTCCAAAGCACCTGGAGGACCCAAGTTTGCTCATACCTGCTCTTAGTACTCTTGCATTCTCCAGTGTAGGGTGCACCATTTGACTTCTTCCAAACTCTATTTGTGTTCAAAGGGCGATTCTCTTATAGACGGGAATGGAAAGGAAGGAAGAAAGGCTGGTTGGACGGGTTGGGAAGGAGACTTCCTTCCCAACCCGCCAGACTCGGAAGCCAAACAAAAGGACCTTCTTTGGAGGGAAAGAGCTAGCCACAGAACCTCCGCCGGTTCTAGAGCGCCAGAGAAAAGCTTGTTCTCATCTCTGAGAGTGCATCACAGTAGGTATGGGCAAACCTTGGGTCCTCCAGGAAAAGGAAGGGGCCTGAGACTGTTAGGGATGGTGGGAGTTCTTCAACTGAAGCACCTGAAGGGCCTGAGGCTGTTGGGAATGGTGGGAGTTGAAGTCCAAAGCACCTGGAGGACCCAAGTTTGCCCATACCTGCTCTTAGTACTCTTGCATTCTCCAGTGTCGGGTGCACCATTGACTTCTTCCAAACTCTATTTGTGTTCGAAGGGCGATTATCTTATAGACGGGGAAGGGAGAAAGAAAGAGAGGTTTGTTGGACGGGTTGGGAAGGAAAGGCCTCGCCAGACTCAGAAGCCAAACAAAAGGACCTTCTTTGGAGGGAAAGAACTAGCCACGGAACTTGCGACAGTTCTAGAGTGCTAGAGAAAAGCTTGTTCTCATCTCTGAGGATGTATTACAGCAGGCATGGACAAACTTGGGCCCTCTGGATGCTTTAGACTCCAACTCCCACCATTCCTAACAGCCTCAGGTCCTTTCCTTTTCCCCCTCAGCCGCTTAAGGAAGGGACCTGAGACTGTCAGGAATGGTGGGAGTAGAAGTCCAAAGCACCTGGAGGGCCCAAGTTTGCCCATACCTGCTCTTATGCTACTTCATCACACTAGAGATTGAATCCACTTTCAATCCGCTTGCTGCCTCCTGCAAAATTATTGGGTTGGTAGTTTAGAGAGGAGCCTTTAACAGCCTCACTAAACTACAAACCTCATAATTCTGCAGAAGACAGAAACCGGATTTAAAGTGGATATATTCTTTAGTGTGATGAGGTAGTTAGTACTCTCTTTTAGATTCTCCAGTGTTTCTTTCAGACTCTCTTTATATTCAAAGGACGATTCTCTCAGTCAGCGAGCCCCTCAAAGATCTAGCTTGCAACTAGTAGGCTTCCAAGGGCGCATCTTAGAATCTAAATTGACATCTGTCAGTCTTCACTTCCCGGCTGGAATCAGTTGCAATAGGAACCTAGATAACCTTGTAGAATTGCAATTCTCCAATTCATGCAGTTTGACATCGCTTTGACTCCATGCTATGGAATCCTGGTAAGGGACCAGCCCTTCCACACAGCCCTATAACCCAGAATATCAAGATAAATGATCCACAAGATCTGCTTTGAGTTGCTGTGAGTTTTCCGGGCTGTATGGCCATGTTCCAGAAGCCCGAGCCCAGAAAAACTCACAGCAACCCAGCCATGAAAGCATTCGACAACATATCTGCTTTGAACTGGGTTATCCGAGTCCACGCTGCCCTATAACCCAGTTCAAAGCAGAACATGTGGGATTTTATACAGCTGTGTGGAAGGGGCCATAGAATGCAACAGACCATAGAAAACTACAGCTCCCGTGTTCCCAAAACACAGAACCCTGGCAGACAAAGTAGTGTCAAACTGCACGGGAACTGCATCTACAGTGTAGATGCACCCTAGCTCGGAGATGGTTTGAAGCCGCGCAACAGTACTCTCTCCGACACCTGTCTGTCTGTATATGAGCATCTCATTCCGAACTGGCTTCAACTGGCACAATGCCAAGGCTCCAGCCCTCCCAACTCCAGTCCCTTAAACGTCACTGAAATGAGTTGCTTGAGGGCTGTGTGTACTAGGTGCTCAGAGAGTGCGGTTGCTTGCTTTCCTTGGTGTTACGCCGACTTCCCGACGTGTAGATCCCACCTTCCCCATGCATTTGACCATAGTTTGTCCCGGATTTTCTGTTCTCACTGTAGTGAGTGCGCCCAAGGGAAAGAAAGATCTTTGTAGACTGACACTTCAGAGCCAATTCTGCGTGTTTACAGAGACTTCCAGGGCGCGCTCTCTCCTCCTCGCATTCCTTTAGAAGAAGAGCTCGCTGGGCATTGCAAGGACTGTATTGTCGAAGGCTTTCATGGCCGGAATCACTGGGTTGTTGTAAGTTTTTTCGAGCTATATGGCAATGGTCTAGAGGCATTCTCTCTTGACGTTTCGCCTGCATCTATGGAAAGCATCCTCAGAGGTAGTGAGGTCTGTTGGAACAGTTCCCACAGACCTCACTACCTCTGAGGATGCTTGCCATAGATGCAGGCGAAACGTCAGGAGACCATGGCCATATAGCCCGAAAAAACCTACAACAACCCATTGTAAGGACTGCTCTGAGCGCTCTTGTTCCTAAATGAAGGTGCTTAAGAGGGGGCTCTTGGCCTGGGATGCCTTTGCAGTGGGGCCTAAATGCTTCCAAGGCACCAGATCCCTTCTGATCTTCGAAGCCAGGCCCTGGTTAAGACTTATCTGAACTTCATCACACTAAGGAATGAATCCACTTTAAATCCGGTTTCTGTATCCTGCAGAATTCTGGGGTTAGTAGTTTAGTGAAGCTGCTAAAGGTTCCTAACTAAACTACAAACCTCAGAATTCTGCAGGAGGCAGAAACCGGATTTAAAGTGGATTCATTCTCTAGTGTGATGAGGAGACTGCCAACAGATACCAGGGGTTGTAGGCTACGTTTCAGAGGCAGCATCACCCCTGAGTAGTCTTCTAAGAAAACAGAAGTTCATGGGGAGTCGACTTGAAGACACATACTAACAGTTTGCCCCTAAATAGTCCTGTCTTTCCCCTTCCAGCCCCACAGATCCGGAAGCCAAAGGGGACTTGGGACTTTTGCTAGCCAAAAGGCAAGGTAATAATTTTGGGGCGCAATTCTACAGTGTAGATCATGGGCAAACTTTGGCCCTCTAGGTATTTTGGACTTCAACTCCCACCATTCCTAACAGCCTCAGGGGAAAAGGAAAGGGCCTGAGGCTGTTAGGAAAGGTGGGAGTTGAAGTCCAAAGCACTTAGAGCAGTGGTTCTCAACCTGGGGTCCCCAGATGTTTTTGGCCTTCAACTCCCAGAAATCCTAACAGCTGGTAAACTGGCTGGGATTTCTGGGAGTTGTAGGCCAAAAACATCTGGGGACCCCAGGTTGAGAACCACTGACTTAGAGGGCCCAAGTTTGCCCATGCCTGAGGTAGATGCATCCTTAGAAGGCGGACTATTCCAAACTTTAGGACTTGTTTCTCCCTTTTGCAACACATTTAAGAAAAGGGGATTGATTCCAGGGGTCTGTCTCCCTTCTCCCCCCCTTGAACTTCATTCCCAAAGGAAGGTGAGCATCTTTTGTGAGCGGGACTTTGGCCGCAAGCACTTTACAAGGAGGAAGACGCGGCTCCCGGGAGAAGAAAAGCCAGGCGCTCGCTGCCAATGGGATTGGACTAAGTTTGAAACCCTGCTCTCCGTCGCACCGCCTTGCTCTTCGGAATCGCCTTTTGCAAAGCAACGAAAGGGGGGAGGAAGGGACTTTATTGTTGTGTCAAACTTCCCCTGTGCCCTATCCATTTCACTTTCTTTCTTTCTTTCTTTTTGGTGATGTTTTAGATCCAGAAGGTTTATTTATTACCGAGTGTTTACAATTGGTTTTGCTTTTAAACTTTGTTTTTACATGAACCATATATTTTCACAAAACATGCTGCCATCGTTTATGTAACTTTTTTTTTCTGAGACAGAGAGATCAAATAAACAACTTTTCGCAGATAGCTTTGACGGAGATCCTTCTTTATAATGCGCTCCCTATCGAAAAGGTATCCTATCCAAGGTATTATTTGCGGATCGACTCCTCAAAACTAAAAATCCAATAGATGTTTCATCGAAAGCGGTGTTGCTGTGGGTTTTCCAGGTTGTATGACCATGTTCCAGAAGCATTCTCTTCTGACGTTTCGCCCACATCCAAAGCAGGCATCCTCAGGGATTGTGAGGTCTGTTGGAAACTAGGCAAGTGATGTTTATATATCTCTGGAATGTCTAGGATGGGAAAAAGAACTATTGTCTGGGTTAGTGTGGGTTTCCGGGTTGTATGGCCATGTTCTGATGTTTCACCCACATCCTGATGTTTCACCCACATCCAAGGCAGGCATCCTCAGGAATTGTGAGGTCTGTTGGAAACTAGGCAAGTGAGGTTTATATATCCGTGGAATGCCCTGGGTGGGAGAAAGAACTCTTGTCTGTTGGAGGCAAGTGTGAGTGTTGCAATTGGCCAGCTTGCTTAGCATTGAATAGCAATGCAATCAGGGCCAGTTAACAATTCCCGACAAAGGACCACCACCCCCCTTGCAGGAAACACCCAGACTTTGAAGCTGCCAAGCTATTTAATGCTAATCAAGCTGGTCAATTGCAACATTTACATTTGCTTCAGGCAGACAAGAGTTTTTTCTCCCACAGATTCATAAGCCCCACCTGCCTACT